TCCTTTTTCATGTGTGTAACAATATTACAATAATGTTACTTTTTTTTATTAGGAAGATTTAGCTACAATTAATACTTAATGTGTTTTCTATATATGGTAATTTGGTTTTCTTGTTTAACATTTTGAAGGGTCTCAACTTATTATTAGTTGAGCTTAACTAAAATTACAAAATCAACTGAACTGAGATCGGTATAAGCGTGAACATCTGTTAATTCAATTTCATAAGACTCAATAGAAAAATATTCGAACTGCCATTTTGACTTTGACCCGCAAGAAGATTTACTCTGGAGCTTTCGAATTTTTGAAGGAAAAAGAGGATATTAGAAAGAAGACACTCAAAGGAATTAGAAAAATAAAAAATAAAAAAAATCAAATTATGTATATGAAATTTTAGTAGTTTAGTATACATAGAAATTCGAACATTTTAGAAATCTCTTTCTTTTTTTTAATCTCACGAACAAGATCTAATAATAACATTATTTAATCGAAGAAGGGGGTCGTTTAGTGGTCGTTTAGTGGGCTCTTGTAATGAAACTACAGTCTAATTTGAGCAATTCTCTGAATAATCATATATGATAACATGCCCATCGACCTAAAAGCAGCACTTGTAAATATACATAGATCAAATTCACAAAGATGAAAATATGATGTATATTCGAAACGTTTTGATTTTATTTGTGACGTTTATAAAATTATTATGTCATCTAGTATTCATATTAATTATTTTCAACGATCGATTGAATTTGTCTTACCAACAAACTATGCGAGTTGATCACTCATCGAGATTAATTGGGTTACTTAGTATTAGAGAAGTTATTTTCTTAATTAATCAAATTATTATTCCATTTTGATACACCAATAATATTATTCAACCAAGCTAATACCACCAAGTCAAAGGAAGTATAACATTAAGCTAATGGCTCAAACTCATGATGATTACCGCTATAACCCTTTGGCTAATTTCTTCTCCATTTCATTCCTTTACTCGGCCTTAAATTTCTGCACATTTGTTTATTGTTTTTAATTTAATTTGTTTATTAGTCATACCACTAATTGTCCTCCACTACTTTATTTTAATTTAATTGACAACATAAAAAGGGGTTGCCTTTTTCTTCGAGCACATGGGTTGAGTCAATTAATAATTAGGATCAATTACTATTAGTTATATTAAAAAAATATATATATAATAATTCAAAATTTTTATGATTGGAGCATGCACTTCTCTTGACCATCTTGTATCGGGGCTATCATTGAAATATGTTCAAATATTCCTTTAATAATTACAGTTCATCTTTCTTGGTTCATGAGATACAATGCAATACTATTGATTTGGTTGGTGGAGAACCGACCCTAAGTTGGGGGTCGGCGGGTTGGACTCGAAACCAACGGGCCCTCTAGCAGTTATTGTTTAAATTTCTATGGTTGGATATTGAAACGTATATTTGTCACGGAGTGCGCTAATTGTAGTACGAACTAAAATTAGAATTATAAAATGCAGAAGCAAATAACCGGAGATTAATAAACTCTTCAGGGAAGCATCCCACTTCCCCTCAGAGCTCTTTCATTGATAGATCACTCATGAACATAGTTTGGACTTACAAAGACTTGAACTCCCTTCAAATCTAGCCAACACTACTTGATCCTATCAACTAATTCTCCGGCCACATCCCGTGGACTTATAAAGCCTACACTTACTCCCTAAGTGTATAAATCGTAAAAATAGTTTTGATGAAATGTTTAAAAAACTGAACAGAAACAACTTCAGTCCTTGAGTTTGTAAGAACTCTCAGACTGAACTGAATACAACTAAAAATGGAACCGAAAGAAACAAAGCTTGGATTGCTCTAAAATATTTCTATCTCCAAAATCCACGCACGCCAGAAGCTTCTTCTAGGGTATTTATACGAACTCCTTAGGGTTGGAGTCTTCTACAAGGCATAGGTCTTCAAACAAGATTTCTTTCCAAAAAGATAGCATATCTTTGGTAAGTGAATCTTCTATTCTCTCTCTTTGATCTCCTCTCCAAGCATGCCTCTTCTCTCCCTCTTCTTTATCTCTTCACGTGCGATTTCCTATATTATCCAAAACCATAATAAGATCTACACATACTCATACATGGAATATAAAATAAAATTACTTAAGGAAATATAATATGTAGAGATCTCCCCTTTATTCTGTGGTTCCAGGTGCTTGTTCGAACTAACAAACTAATGCCAAAATAAAATATCTTTCAATCTCCCCCTTTGGCATCTAGTTCGAAAACATCAGACTTGAAATTCTCCTACAGCAATAAAAACTACAAGCACCAACAGATAAAATCAAGCAAGGATTAGTTCAATACATCACATGACTGTGTTTGAGACAGTTCTCCCCCTTAGTTCCTGCAGTCAACAAAACTCAATAGAATGATTCTAAATTCGATTCAATCAAAATAGGTCGATATCAAAGTTAGCAAAACAACTTATAGTAGCAAGCAGCAAATTACATAAAGACCTCCCTACACCCCTCAAAACACACAAAGAGATAAATGAGGCAAAAACTAACTACTCCTCATCTCCAAGCTTCTCAGTGGCATCATCAGACTCTTCATCATCTTTCTCATTGCTCTTACCAGCAGCAGAAACCTTCTCCCCCTTTTTCGAACTACGGGATGCCGAAGGGCCTGTCCCCGAGTTACGATTCGATCCCTTGACAGCCTGCAGCACTTGTCGAAGATAACCCTGTTGAGCAGCAACCCTCTTGGCCAAAACATCCCATTCTCCAAGTTGCTGAGCCACGAACTCACCCCAATTTTTAGGGACCAAGGAAGGAGCGAGTTCCTTCGTAACCTTGGAAATCCCCTTTTCATTCAGAGTACGAGCACTTACAGAGAGTGCTTTCCTGGGATTCTCAAGAGAGTCTTGGAAGCGGAGATTAACAGAGAAGTTATGAGCAGACAAAAAGGACTAAATGAGACAAGGGAAGGGAAGGGTTTTGCGAGACTCAATGTTAGCTACAAAGGAGTGAAGAATATGAAATAAAAGATCCCCAAAACTGAAAACCTTCCCAATCATGACCCAATAAATAACCTTGCATTGCAGCTCGGTAAGCAGGGTTTTATTTGAAGTAGGAGTCCAGTTGCCAGCACCAATTTTATGTAAGAAATTAGCAACTAAGCATAGAGAATTCACAGAAAGGTTAGAACCAGGCCAAATATCCAACTGACCAGAAGTAAGAACTGTGGTCATTTCATCCAAATCAACATCAGAAAGAGAAGAGCTAGCAAGATCAGAGGGCAAACCAAGATGGACATTAAACAAAGCAGGAGATATATCAATCACACAGTTGCGAAGGAAAAGTTTATGAAAGCGAGGGCTATCAGAGTCAAAAACAGCAGGGGTGAGATTCGCATAGAATTCTTTGACAGCTTGGCCACAAAAGGGCTTAACATCAGACACAGTCTTAGAAAGACCCACTTGCTCGATCAGACGAAGAACACCAAGTTCAGCAAACTTACCATCGGTCACAGGATGTTCCGACCAGAACTCATAAGATCCAAAATTGACAAAGCGTTCATGAGCCGCTTCTGTATAGAACCGATTGGTGAAAGTATTCTCAAGGTCATATGCATCATCTTCAGGTTCAGGAGGGACAAGGGGTTCGTCGATGGTCTTCCCACGACGGCGGGTTGAACGACGGACTGGAACCTTCGAAGGGGGTGATGGTTGGTCAGAATGGACTTCAACGGCGGTAGCTGCCGTATCATCTTTTTCACCCTCGGTAGTCGTCGTCTTGGTGACAGACTTAGTTGCAGAAGTTGGAACTGCAGATGACTCCCCCTGAGTTGGGACGGCAAGTGGTTCAGCAAGCCCAGAAAGACCAGGAACTCCAGTGGCCAGCGGTGAGATTTCAAGATTTTCGCGAACATTGACAGACTTTGACTGAGAGCCAGACGGGGAGGAGGCGAGAGAACCAGATTTAGACGAAGGCGAAGATTCAGGGGTCGGTTCTTTTGTTGGTGGCGAAGGTTCACGAGCAGACCCAATGGACAAGGAAAGACGGCGGCGCTTGAGTCGCTTTTCTTTCTGCTTCTGGAGTCGTCTCTTGGACTTTTCTTTGCCGCCAGCCATGGGAGAAGAATGAGGATTGAGAGAGGGGAATTTAGGGTTTCAATCGGTACAAATGGGCGAAGGAGAGAGAGAGAGAGAAGTGAAAGTGAGAGAAAGGAAAGAAACAATATATGGAAATAAAAAGAAAGGAAGAGACGTGTGTTGTGTTCAGTTTGAGAGACGTTGGATCATGGAAAACCGCAAAAGGTAGGTTCCGAAAATCAAGATGGTAATGTGGGCGGTTTTAGGAGAGAGAGAGAGAGAGAGAGAGGGAAAAATTCAAAAATAATTAGTGAAACTAATCCCTCCAATAATCCAAAGATCAAACAAATCAAAACCATTCACACAAATAACGGTTCTCATTATTTCGAAATTTAGGAAAGAAATCAGATTTCACTCTTGATAATGTCCTTCAAAATACTCGGATCAGGTTCAAAAAGGAAATCATATGCAAATATGCCTAAAGATGAAAAGGAATAAACATCGCACACAAGATGCACTAAAATCATAAGATCTTTTCCTCCCCAACTTAGACAAGATTGACGGCAACAATCAGAGACCAACTATGAGATTCAAACATTCTGAGGAACATAGGTTAAACGGATATATGTATATACACAGAGTAGTGCGAACCACAACTTCCAATATAATTTTTTTTCGAAAGAACACATGCGGTATTATTCATAGTGCATTTCACTTAGTAACAATCACTGCAATAGTGAAAGTCGACCCCACTACTTTGCACTACAATTTTCAGCAAGGATCCCAATTTTTTTTTTTTTTTTTTTATAAGTAAAACGCACTACGGTT